TGGCTCCGGGAGATGAAAGAAACGACATCGAAAGGGCTAAATTGCCGCGGGCAAAGTCGGTTGGCAAACCATTTTGGCATCGAAGAAGAAACGTAATTCGTACTTCCGTAGGAGAAAGCTCACCAAAGAAACATCCTGGTCAATCCACTTGACAAGTGGCCCACATCCCTGTCACATCCCCGAAAAACGACGACGATCCTCCCTTGCCTCGTGCGGATCCCGATCACCATGCTTCCTTTGGTGTATTTCGGGTTCGATGGTGGATTGGCGGAGGTTTGCGATGGTTAGGGCAGGGGTTGCAAAAAGCATTTTGGTCAGTTTTCACATTTTGTTGTGGATTCCCGACCCAAATATTCTGTACGGTGCCTTCTTTTTCTGCACTTGTGTCCTGCAGCACTCGCAAGTGCTCCTTCCTTTTCCTTCCTGTCCACCCCACAATGCGCTCCTCTCATCCTTCCATTTACTCTGGCTCTGTGTTGTAGTACAGTATTAATTCAGCCCATCGTTGCTTCCCTTGGACTCGGCGCCGGTTGGGGAACTCTTATGATCCGCCGGCGGCTGTCGATCATGGAGCTACATCTACGCCTCGTCCGTGGGCCAGCCCCTAACAATATAAAAACCGGAATGCAGGGAGAAAGAAAAGAAAATGCAAAGAACAAAGACAAAGACCTCCATCCGGTCGCGCCTGGTCTTCCGTAACGCAAAAGGCTACTGTCCGTTCGGTGCCAAAGGAACGAAGCCGGTTTCGTCGTGCACGCGACTGGGAAAGAGCGATGGTCTACTGGTGTGGATTGCACTTTCCTACAGCACTGGAACGAAATGGAAGGAACGAAACAGAGGACGGAGCATTGGTGAAGTCACCGCAAAAAAAAAAAAGACACGAGATGCATTATTGCCAGCAGTCAGTCTCGCGAATGCACCTGCAACGTTCGGCGTAATACCCAGTTTGTCATCACATCTGATTCGTTTTGTCCGTTGTCGTTTAGCCCTGTGCATCTTGTCCAATGTAGTGTTTACGTGCATGCTTGACAAAGTACGCGGACAGATCCAGTTTAGGCAAGTGCAACCTCAAGAACAGACGGAAGCGACGACTGAAGGTGACGAATTGCCTACACTTCATCACAGAACATGCCAAGAGCCGATCGCATCGTGCAAAGAAAGTCGGAGGATTTTTCAGCTATCGCTCAGAACGGGTATGCATTTCGTGACCGCATTGGGAACGAGAATCAGGCCTGCACAGGCTCAGGCCAGTCAGAGGTGTGGTTGCAGTTGCCTGGCCAGTGCGCGACAGCGGGTTGGGCCTTCTCCTTATCACCCCCTAATTATGGAGCTAATGTGGTGTCTAGGACAATAGTGACAGACGTCACTGGCTGGCACCTGCCTCCGACCTCGCTGCTGCAATTCGGAGATGCACCCCGACCAAGAGAGCAAGAACACCGAACGGCAGTTACGATGCAGTGCAAAAAGCGACTTCCTATTGTGTCTGTTGGTTCTCAATGTGTCACTGCTCAACCCCCTGACCAATCCACCTTATTCTTGCTCTTCTCCCTTTTCCAACAGAGTTCTTCTTTGTCACCCTTTCGGGCCCAACAGCCCGATCATTTCCTTTCAACTACGAAAGGGATGTTCCCAAAAGTATTTGCGTTTCTTCCGGGAGTTCCTGGTCTCTTCAAACCTCATGTGCGCATACTCGGCATGGGTCACCCAATACCTGGTGGCTTGCAATACTATGACCGCTATTTTTTGCACTTCGGCAATGGATTGCACTGGGCATGGTTCATGACGGCCAGAACAAACACAGCCTGACAGCATCTCAGAGGCCAGGCGTCTGCTAAAATCTCACACCCGACGACTCAGTTCCTGTCCGGAACTCGAAGAAAGCGGCCGAGTCACCTAAACCCAGCACCCCCTGCCAATATTGCCAAAAAAGAAGCCCTGAGGCCCCTGCAAGAACCTTGCTTTATGTGCCGCTATCAAAACCCCAATCCCCTGCACTCTTCCCTTCTCCCTGCTGGTGATCTTCAAGCCGGGGGCGGACCCTGACAGCCTGGCTGACCTCGTTTTCCACAACACCAATGCAAGCTGCGCAGAAGCGGACAACGTATGGAACGGCAGCGAGGGCAGGTCAGTGAATTGCCTCGCAGGAACCTCACCTGTTCCTTAGCTGCAGGACAAGGCATGAGCTAACGGCCAGGGCAGCTTGGGGGAGCGACTTTGCCAGTTGGAGACAAAAGAGGTAAGCTCAACCAAGAAATGGGCGTCCAACGCTTCGTCGATCATGATTTCTGCATTTATTGCAGGAGAGGAAAGAACAGCATCACGTAGAAAAAGACAGGCAGTTTTCTGTTCAGATGGTGCAGAAGCGAAAGTGCGATGCGACATGGGTTTCGCCACATTCAGCCTGGCCCGCATGTGCGCCGTGCGTCTGAAACGAGAAGAAACAAAAGAACGAGCAAAAAAAAACAAAACAGAAGTGAGCACGGAGACAAGGGAGGGGGAGAACTTCCAAAAGAAAGCACAAAACGAGAGGCCCAGTGTGAGACATGAGTGCCATCTCCCGTTACAAAATGGAAAATGCCCCGACGAGAGTCATCGAAAAGAAAATATGAACACACAAGGAGAGAGAGAGAGAGAAAAAAACCGAAACAGCCCGACGATCCCAACAAGAGTGGTCCAAAATAGAACACCCATCTCATCAACATCCCCACCGGCACACCTACCGTACATGACACACAACACTAACCCATGAGCAAACCACAATGCCTTCGATATTCAGCGCGCCCTTGATGCCACATCACAGCCTATCAGACATTTCAAAACACCTAGGCCGGGACTGGTAAGTTCTCCGGGACACGCGAATGCGTACATAGTAGATCAAAGGCAGGAGCTCCCGCGAAGGAAAACATGAGGAATCGAAAGGATTACAGAGGGCTAGAACGACTCCACTGCCATGAGAGTACCTGGAAGAGGTGACAGTTGCGGGCACTACAACATACGACTGTTCACCTTTCGACTTAGACACCATCAGCATCAAGTGGAACACGGGAAAGACGAAAAGAAGGAAAAACCAACAACGATCCTGGTTGCCTTCCCATAAAGGAACGTGAAAGGTATTTCACAGGTGGTGAGCCCATTTGTCATTTTGGTTCACCACCTCCGCCCAACGACGGCGCTGGTTGTGGGCTTGTCAAAACACGAGAGACGGCGCACGCGACTCGGCTTCCATCCGCACCCAGTAAATCAGCCCGCCGCCTCCCTCTCAGAGGAAAAATACGCGACGAAAGGCAGGTGAAGTCGGGCATGAGTTACGGGGACAAGCCCAGACATTGTTCACAAGTCCCTTGCAGATACATGTGTGACACAATCTACATCTCGTCTGTATTCGTCTACATCTCACCTGCGTCAGAAGGTACCTGCAGCTGCATTGCGTGGGGAGAGTTACAAATGAAGAAGTTGCTTAATGGCTTCAGAATTGAATTGCTTCAGAAAGAAGACAATGGACCTCGGCTGCTCGAGTCAAGAGACGAGCAATCAACCTCACGAATGTCAGGAATGCACCGAGAGACAGCCAGGCAGATGCGCGACAATATGACGACAATGATGCATGTATCATTTGTGCATAAAGAGACACAAGATGTTTTGTTTCATGCGTCTCTTCATATTGCCAGTGCAGTTTCGTACACCGTGCACCGCAACGGCGGTGTTCTATTTCGAGAGGCTCGTCTCATCGTTTTCGTTTCGTCGCTTGTCGCGTGTCGCTTGTTTCCGACAGATTTCCAAAACACAACTCAGGCGTCCTGTGCTGCGGATATTTACTCTAGCCACACTTTTTCTTTTCTTTTTTTTTTATTGCGAAAACTGATTTTTACTCCACGGCGACGGCTTTGTTTCCAATTCGTCCCGCGATGTGACCTTCTGCGACGTCTGGTCAGACTGAAAAGGTTCAAAAGAATTGCTGGGAATGCCCGAGCTGTGAGTTATCGACACCCCCTGTCACACATCATCCAAGGGGGCGGCGAGCACTGTCAAAGAGCTCGATTTAGAACGGAGTATTATGCATATTTTGCTGCGACACTTCGGAGGCGGATTCACCCCCTGCTCAAACTCTCCGTGTAAGTGTCAAGTGACGTGAAATAATAAGAACAATAAAACACAACGGGGAAAGTTCCAACATGTCCAGCGGTCAGTCATTTTGTTTGAAAGCAAACATGTTACAAAAACTGGAAGCGACTTGCTCGATGACATTTAAGAGGAAAGTAGGTTGTTGAAAAGAGCAACTCTTGGTCTCCTACAAGCAAAAGATATACACCATCGCAAAACATGCAACGGACCTTGCCTTCATTTAAATGTAATTGTCTTTGTTTGATTTTGTGTAGTCAAATCAATGCCCCGTTGTCCGCTTGGTACGCCGACGCCCAAAAATAAAGAACAGAAAAACGAAAAAAGCCCAAAAACGGGACACAAAAAAGGAACAAAAAAGAGGAGAGCAGGTCCAAAATGAATGGACCTGAAGAAAAACCAAAAAACCAAACAGATCCGTGTCCTTGATCCTTTCTCTGCCGTACGCCTTCCCCGTGCAGCAGACGATAAGGCTTAAGAGTCGACATCCGTCGTCGATCACCGGTTCTTCGTCGGCCTATCGTGTCCCGTCGGGTTCTTCGGGTTCCTCAAGGCTTCTCGTAGCTGGTAGTAGGGATTTGTGATTTTTCCATCACCGGTCCTTGTTCATTCACATCTTCCCTCGTCTGCTCTGCACGTCCTCTACCTGCATTCAATGTCCCGTGTCTCTTCCCCGTCTGCTTCGTATTGGTTGCCATCCTTCCGGGGCTAAAAAGACAAAGGAAATGTAAAACAAAAAAAGTGTAGAGACTGGTAGACAGCCGCATGGTATGTAGCAGAGACAAACGAACGTGTATGTATGTGTGTGTGTATGTGTGTTCTGGGTCGCAGAGAGCGGGTAGAGTGCATGCACCGCATAGCAGCGCAATCGACGCCCCCGACTATGCCTTGGCACCCGCCGCAGGACCGCCAATAATCACCTTGCGGCGCACCAGGAACGGGCTCGGCATGTCGTCCTGTTCTGGGTCCCAGACCGCCGCGGGCTCGAGGTGGCCGCGGTTGGCCGCCATGGCATGCTCGCGGAAAGGCCGTTTGGGGCTGGCATTGACGTTGCTGTTGACGTTGCCGTCCACAACGGCACTCAACGGACGACCGCCCGCACGCGCCTGCTGCAGCTCGACCAGCGTGCGGCCGCGGATGCCGGGTTTCTGCTTGCTGACGAGGCCAACAGCCGTCGGTTGTTGTGAGGATTGCTGTTGCTGCTGTTCTGGCTGCGATCCCGACGCCTGCTGCTGCTCAGGCTGAACGTCGCCAGCGTCTTTCCAATTGAAGGAGCCTTTGCGGGCCAGCGCGCGGCCGCCGCTCTCTGCTGTGTGCTCGGCACCCATGTTGGCGGCCGAGGGAATCTTGCTCAGCCGCCGGCTAGGCGACTGTGCACGCTCCCGCAGCGCGCCGCCGCTCAGAGCAGAGCGCAGGTTGCCGTCGACGGCCGAGGTGGTCTTGGCGCCCGTGGCCTCCAGGCCGACCTTGGACCGTGCTGCGCGGCTGAAGAGCGGTGCCGACTTTTGCGATGCAATGCCTGGACGCTGCTGGACGGGTTGTCCTTGCGGCTGCTGCCCATGTTGTTGCTGCTGTTGCTGTTGCTGTTGCTGCTGCAGCTTTTGCTTAGACGAAAAGGGGTTCTTGCGCGACTTGATCATGCGTGTCGGCGAGGGGATGGCCACGTCGTCGTCCGAGTCCCAGTCGGACGGCACACCGCCCGACGACTCGCGCGGACCGTTCCATCGTAGGTCATCGGGCGCCGCGGTAAAGATGGAGCCGTTATTCGTGGTCGGCACCTTGGTCGCGGCGTTCCGGCGCGGCGAGAGAGACAGGGACGCAATGGCCATGGGCGATGGTGAAGCCATCTCGACGTCCATTGGGGTGCCGGCGGGACCAGCAAACATGGTCTGCGCGCGGCCAAACGGTGTCCGGGCCTGGGGCGCGGGGGCCGCTTGTTTCTTCATAAAGGCTGCCGTCGCCGATGCGACGACCACGCCGTTGTTGTTGTTGCCGTTGCTGCTGGCGCAAGCGGCCGCCGATTCTGCAGACGTTGGCTGCAGGAGTGACTCGTCCACCGACAGCTCGGTGATGTCCGTCGTGGACGGGAACTCGCCGTCGCCCATGGACGAGTACAGGTAGTCGGACTTGTAATCGGACTTGCAGATCGACGACGACAGCTCATGGCCCGCCGACGAGGCCAGCGACATGGGCGGCGGCAGGTGTGGCGGCGGCATCTGGAGGAGCAGGGGATCGTCGAGGGCGGACGCAGGGCGCGATGTCGACGATGATGTTGTTGTTGTTGTTGGTGCTGCGGCGGCTGCGTTTCGCAGAGCCTCGGCCAGGTCCTTTTCGACACGCGCGCGCACCTCCTCCTCAAACTTGCTCTGCAGCTGGTCCAGCTCCGCGTTGACGAGGCGGTCAATCTCGAGGCGCGCCTTGACCTCCCACTCGCGGCGCAGGCTGGCGTCAATCTCCTGGCGCAGCAGCGCCTTGTCGGACTCGGCCTTGCGCTCGAGCTCGCGCGCCCGCTTGTTGAGCTGCTCTTCTTTGGACTTGATCGTCTTGCTGAGCTCGACAACCTCCTTCTCCTTGCGCATCAGGCGCACGACGGGCAGGTTGAGCAGCTGCGCCGTGTCCGGGCGGCGGTCGGGATTGACCTTGAGACAGTCGCGCACGACGGCGCACAGCTCGGGCGAGTAGACGACAGGCAGCGGCGCCAGCTTGCCCTCCTTGATCTTCTGGACGAGCTGGTAGTGCGACTTGGCATTGAAGGGCGGCTCCCGCGCGCAGAGCTCGTAGATGATGCAGCCGAGCGACCAGATGTCCGACTTGAGCGTGTACTTTTCGGCGGCGCAGATCTCGGGCGACATGTAAAAGGGCGTGCCGACATAGGTCGAGGCAAAGTCATGTGACTGGATCATCTTGGCGAGGCCAAAGTCGCCGAGCTTGACCGAGTTGTCCTCGCCCAAGAAGACGTTTTCCGGCTTAAGATCGCGGTGCAGGATCGTGACGCCGCCTGTCGGCACCTTGGGCTTGGCCGCCACGCCGAGGCCCAGCACGTTCTTGCCGACGTCGGGCGGGTCGACGCCGTAGTGGCAGCGGTACAGCGCGGTGACGAGCTGTGCAAAGATGCTCCACACAAACGACTCCTCGGCGTACTGGTTGCGGTGGGCCAAGTCGCGGATCACGCGGCCGAGGTCGCCGTTGCCGCAGTACTCCATGTACAGGTGCAGGTCCTGCGTGGCCTTGAGGTGCTCGCGGTGGTAGTAGCCGACAATGTTGGCGTGCCGCAGCGTCGAGAGGATCTGAAACTCGGCGTGCAGCTGCTCACGCTCCTTCTGGGACATCTTGAGGTAGCTGATCTCTTTGCGGCACAGCACCATGCCGTCGGCCTTGCGGCGCACCTTTCGGATGATGCCAAACGAGCCATGGCCTGCGAGGGAGAGGAGAGGTTAGAGCGAGGGATTTTGTGAGTTTGCGGCACCGTGTAGACATCGTGTGGTATGCCAAACGACCAGAACGCACCTATCTTCTCCAGCACATCGTATTTCAGCTCGCTCTCCGCCATGTTGGCATGGAGTGACTGGATGCCGGGGGAGAGTTGGAAGAGGGAGAGTTTCGAGGATCGATTTTGACGCGGAGGAAGAACAAAGAAGGAAGCACCGGCGGAAGCAGCGTGAATGGAAGGAAGCAACGACCGGGCGATGCGGTTGGCGGAAGGAGTGCGGTCGCAGCTGCTGCCAACGTCTGTCGGGACAATCCGCCGCGTCTCAAGGAAAGGTCGACGTCGTCGGAGGCGCTGTTGACATCGATCGCGACCACGATCACGACCACGATCACGACCACGACGGCAAAGTCAATCAATGACCGTGCCGATGCTGCTAAAAAGGTTAGTAGAGACAAAAGGCCCGGTGCCTTGGTGCTTGTTGTTGTGCAATAAACCGCAAAGAGAGAAGATGCTGAATCTTCGGGATATTCAAGAACAAGAATCAAAGAGGCGGAACACGGCTCAGGCACAACACGGCGGGAGTCTCGTTTCAGTCGGTTGCTGAGCTTGTCGTGCACGGAAGCCTCCCAGACGACCCCCCGACCCACTGCTGAGTGAGATGTTTACAGTGTGGAGTCAGTTTCCACGGCAACCAGTCACGTGTAAATGTGTCGTGATGTATCACGTGGTTTTGCTGATCTCGGACTTAACAGTAGACGACATTTGTAGTGAAACCCATCGCAGTTGCCTGTGGTCGCAGTTGCCCGTGGCCGCAGTTGTCCATGGCGGGGATCCTAGTGGGGCGATTTCAGCCAAGCACCAGCGACCGCGGGCAAGTGCTCTGAGGCTGTGCCTGTTCTGGTTGTCCGCTTGTTTCGCGACCGGTGCGGCAGGAGTTCAGTGGCGGCTGCCCTCTCTGGTTTTCGTGCATTTTGGGGTTTGTTTATATATATATATGCATACATATTTGCTTCATTTTGTTTCTTTACTCGGGGAGCTCAGACGGTTGATTTTTGGTACATTTTAGAGCTGCATTGTTACGTCGTTTACGCATCTCCATCGCGCAGTTCACTACCTGCGTTTGTCAACCAGATAGCCGCAAAGTCGACAGCACACGACAAGAGCCGACGAGATAGAAAAGGTACAAAGAACAACACATTGGGCGACACGTACGACGTTCGAGACGATGGCGATGCCCAAGGGCCAGCTGGAGGCGAAGCTCAAGGAGGAGCACGACATGATCAACAGCGGGGTGCTGCGCGAGGAGAACCCGCTGGATCTCACAGAAGACTTCAGTAACTTTCTCGAGGCCTGCCGACGAGGCGATCTCAAGACGTGCCAGAACTATATCTTGGGCGGTGTCAACATCAACGGCAAAGACGAGTTTGACTACACGCCTCTCATTATTGTGAGTGTAGGGATGAATCCGAGACCGCACGATGAACGCACGATGAACGCACGACGAATGCATGACAGGACGCCTGCTGACCGTCGCAGGCAAGTTTGTGCGGGCACTATGAAGTGGCCCAGCTGCTGCTCGAATCTGGCGCGTTGGCGGAGCGCAACACGTTCCAGGGCGAGCGCTGTTTGTACAACGCCCTCAACGACCGCATCCGCAACCTGCTGCTGGAGTATGACTTCTCCAAGTCGGCCGACCCGCTGCAGCCCTGGTCGTCGCACATCACATCGCTGCTCTCGCGGCGCGAGCCCAAGACGTCCGACATTACGCTGACGGCCAGCGCGGCGCCGGGTCTGACGGCCGAGGAGTTCCAGCTGCACAAGTTCTTCCTGGCCGCCCGCACGCCGTATTTCCACCGAAAGCTGACGGAGGCACCCGACCTAGCCACCTGGAAGATGTCGAACCACGTCGCGGCCGAGGCGTTCCGCATCGTCCTGCACTATCTGTACCTGGACGACCTGACGCCGCACACGGCCGCCCTGTCCGATGAGGAGGAGCTGTTCCGCAGCATCGACAAGATCACGAAGCAGCTGGAGGTGGAGCAGCTGTGGGAGGCCATGCTGGTCGGCAACGACCGGCGGCTGGCACGGCAGCGGTACGAGGACGAGGTCGAGCGGGCACAGCAGCAGATCGAGGCCTTCTTCCGACGGCACGTCATGGGCAACAAGATGGTCGTCGAGACGAGCAAGGTCAACGACGTCAAGTGGCCGCACGACAACTTCATCTTTGCGGACTGCTTGCTGTGCGCGGACGAAACGACAGACGAGACGGATGCGCCGGACGACGCAAATGACGACACGATGAACCCGCCGGAGCGGACAAACAGCATCCCGATCGGCCCAGCGGCGAGCAGTGCATCGGCAGCACCAAGAACACAAGAGACGGGCGCATCATCGTCATCATCCACGTCAGCGTCAGCATCAGCACAAGAGTCAAAAACAAACGGAGAGCGGCCGTCGCGAAAGCCCCGCCGTTCCATTTTGTATCCTGCGCACAAGGCCCTGCTCGTGCGTGCCGACTACTTTGCGACCATGTTTTCCAGTGCGTTCCTCGAAGCGCAGGCTTCCGAGCACCTGCGCATCATCAAGATGGACTGTGCGCCCGAGGTTCTCGAGATTGTGCTGTCGTTCTTGTACACAGAGCAGGCAGACATCCCGCTGGACCTGGCACTGGACGTGCTGTACGTGGCCGACATGCTGTTCCTGGAAAAGCTCAAGATGAAGGCGGCTGTTATCATCAGCACGCTCGGCAGCGGCAACCGGTTCGCGATGAACGACCCGACGCACCAAGAGAAATTGGCCTCAGCCTCGGCCTCGGCCTCTACTTCGAATGGACAAGACGGCCAAGGTGGTGCCGGCGGTGTCGGGGACTCTGGCGACATCAACGTTTTTGAAGTCCTGCGCGCGGCGTGGGACCTCAAGGTGCAGCGACTGGAAGACTTTGCGGCGCGATTCCTGGCGGCGCGACTGGAGCACTACATTGATGAGGAGGAGTTTGCAGACTTTGTGCTAGAAAGTGCAAACCGGCTGGAGACGCGGCAGGAGACCGACACGATCGAGCTGATTGACGACATTCGGTATTTCCTGTCGGAGCGGTTCCGGCTACGATTCGAGGACATAGCCTTGTCCGACATGGAAGACGACGATGCCGAGGAAGCGGCCGCCAATGGAGACGCTGGTGGCGGTGGCGGTGATGCTGTGGCGACCGCGGCTGCAAACGGCGTCATTCGCACACTCGACGGCAAAGAGGTCGAGGACGAATTTGACTCGGACGCTCTCAACTACCAGATCTTGCTGGGAAAGATTGATAGTTTGCTGAAGCGGCTGGGTCTGGATGCGTAGGCCTGTAACGACACACTCCGATACAGTTACAGAGAGAGCCATATGTAAATACACGACTTCTACGGTACACGAATACATAACGCCATGCCACTTAGAGGGGAATTTTGGAACGAAAAAAAAAGGGATAGAAAACAATACAATTAAAGATTGTGGTAGATATATGGCTATATAGATTGATCTCCCTTCCAGCTTCGGTCTAGGACGTCCAGCAGTCGGGATTTGGATTGATTGTTTTTGTGTGTCCTCTCTCTAGTAAATGAGAGAAAGAAACATTGGAAACAACCGGGCTTGGGCTTTGAGAGTTTCGTAGGAACGAGAAATGAGAAGAACTATGCAAAGACAATGAAATCTTGCCGTCATCATACAATGGAGAGGAGCATCATGCAGAGAGCGAGGGATGCAGGGGGCCTTAGAGAGACCGGGTGGGTTGTTTTTGTTCTCTTCGTGGGTAGACAATGAAATGCAAAAAGGAATGTGGTGAGAAAGCAACGGCATTACCATCAGCAGCAGCAGAAACAACAACAACAAGACTCGATTCACCAAGTTTGAATCTCCAATCATCTTCTGTTTGGGCCTCTACGGCCAGGAGGTCGGACCAAACGTGGCACCATCGGGCAGGGGCTGCTGAATGGCGGCCTTGGTGAAGTCGGCCGTCTCGAACACGCCGACGTTGCCGAACCAATTGGGCGCCTCGGCCAGCGTGAGATAGAGGGTGAAGAAGATGATGAGGGTCGACACGATGAGGCCGCTGTCGAGGGCGGCCGACGTGACGTAGTTGTACTGCAGCCACCAGCCGTTCCAGCGGCGGCGGATAAAGTAGTTGAAGACGGTGCCGACGGTGCCCCAGCAAAGGTAAATGTACACTGTTGCGGGCGGCAGCCAGCCAGAACCGCCAAAGATGAGGGGCGTGTTGACGTAGCGCCAGATGCTCTTGGGGAAGCGGCGGGCCAGCAGCCAGGTGATGATGGGCGTGATGGCACCGACGATCCAGAAGTACTGCAGGTTGGCGTAGAGGGCCTGGCCGCTGAAGATGCGCTTGGGACCGATGGCGCCCCAGATGACAGAGGCCGTGTAAAAGACTTTGGCGTTGGCACACGTGTAGGAGTTGGCCTGCTCCTCGGTGCAGACACCCTCAATGGAGCCGAGAGCCCAGTTCATAACGGCGATCTGGACAATGGCGGACCAGACGGAGGCAACGAGCTGGGAGGCGAACATGGTGCGGGGCGGGACCTTCATGTAGTGGCCGAGCTTGAGATCTTGGGCAAAGTACAGCGCCTGGGACATGCAGAGGTAGCCGTAGTTCTTGAACATCATCATGGCGAGGGGCCGGCCGGGCAGCATGTAACCGACAATGAACTCGGTCAGGACATTGAGGCCGAGCTGGGTGTTGGTGATGGCCTGGATGATGCCGATGGGGACGGTCCAGACCATGGGCAGGATCATGCAGACAACGTAGCCCCACCACGGGAAGCCGGTGGGCCAGGCGCAGACGACGGCAAAGGAGATGCCCAGCATGATGACAAAGAGGGCACCGTACCACCAGTCCTCGGCGTCGCGGTACTTCTTCATGAGGCGCATGTGCACGTCGTCCTCCTGGTGGCGGGCGAGCTTGAACTGGGACCAAATCTCGGAGCCGTGGTACAAGAAGACGTGGACGATGACGGCGGCGACAGCGGCAAACGACAGGCCGTAGGACAAGGCGAACTGGGTGGAGAGGAAGAGCGGCGAGTAGTTGAAGTACTTCTCGGCGTCAAACTCAAAGTTGGTCAGGATGCGGGTGACGTTGTAGACGGCGCCGGTGTTGTCGAAGGCGCTGGAGCTCTGGACGGGCAGGTGGGCGCCGTACCAGGTGTTGGTGAAGTGCAGGCCGGTCGAGATGATGACGAAGAAGACGACGATGCCAAACATCATGTTGGCAATGGCGTAGAAGGGCGGGATCAGGGGCGACAGCAGGTAGCCGGAGATGATGGTCCAGTCAAAGGACAAGGGGAACAGGCCGTAGCCGGAGAGACCGCCAAACAGCTGGTTGACGATGCGGCTGTTGGGCCAGATCCAGGTGATCCAGCAGAACCAGCTCAGGCCCTGGAAAATCCAGCCGGGGAACCAGTACCAGACAAAGGAGCCGCCAAAGACGATCAAGAACCAGCGGTAGCGACCGATGCTCCAGCCGTTGGTCTTGGCCGGGTCGGAGGCCGAGTGGTCGTGCAGGGTGTAGAAGAGCGCCGCGTTGACCAGGTCGCTGGGCCAGATCATGGCAGCGGGCCACACGAGGAAGCGGCGCGACAGCCCGGCAATGCCGTAGCCCGTGCAGAGCGTGGTGATGCCGAAAAGGATCTGCCAGCCCCAGCCAAAGTACTGCTTGTACCACACTTGTTGGGCGATGATGACATCCGTAGCGTACAGGGCGCCACCACCATAAGCGGCCTGCGAAATGTCAGCGGTGAACGAAAGGAAGAGAAGAGAAACTGAAAAAGAAAAAAAGAAAAAGGAAAAAAAAAAGAAAAAAGAAAGGGACTGGGCCTTGAGACTGGCTACTCACATTGGACATAACAACGATAATAACGTGCTCCTTAAAGTTGAATTTGCCGGGGCGCAGGTTGAATTTGAGGCCAAAGAGGTTCCAGACGCGGTCGGGGAAGATGAGATCCCACAGCAGACCGATGGGGTAGGCGACCAGCTGGATCACGTAGGTGGTGACGGAGACACTGGGGTTGCGCAGCGAGAAGAGCATGTTGACGCCGGACCCGACGGTGCACAGAATCAGGCCAATGGTCCAGGCACGGATGGTGTTGGCCGGCAGGTCGACGTCGTAGTTGCGGACGGACGCGCGCACTTCGGGGTACGGCGAGTTGTCCTCGATGATGCCCTGCTCGACGACAAGGCCCTTCTCGACGTTGCCAGTGTTGATGGCGTTGTCGACATCGTTGAGCTCCTCGATGGGCAGGTTCGGGTCGAGGTGGTGCATGCGCTCAAAGTGCTTCAGCGTGTTGAGGGCCTCGGCACCGCTGGCCGTCGCACCGGCCTCCTCGCCGGGCAAATCGTGGCCGTCGACGATTTCGGGCAGAGCATCCTCCTGCTCATGCCGCTTGCGGAGGTTGAACTTGAAACCCATGGCGGCAGAACGAAGACGTCAATCAAGTCAAGCGCGCATAACACGGGGGTTGGGTTTCAGTTGATATGGGGGAGGAGAGACTGGCGGATGCTCGCTCGTTTACTGTCTATTCATGAGACAGAATGAAGAGAGATGAAGGGGGGAAGAAAGGGAGAAACGGGGTATATAAATGAAAAAAAGAAGGAAACGAAGAGATAAAGAAGAGATAAAATGGAAAATGTAAAAACGAGGGCCGGGATACCTCAGATTAAAACCTTAAAAACAAGAGCAGGACCGACAGGTGAGAGGGCAAGGCAAAATGGATGATCCTAGGTCATACTGTAGACAACCGAGCATGGGGGGAGAGACGAAGGTGCGCAAGAGCGGGAGAAGAGAGGGGGGAGAGGGGGGGGGGTCTAGAAAAATAAAGTAGGTGGACTCGATGGGGATACTTTGTGGTAAGGGGGGGTGCGCAATAACAGAGGACATGGGGCGGCACGATAGATATGTCTGCTCCGTATGTCGTACTTGGGCTCCTAATGTCTTTTGGCTCAGGATTGGAGAGGACGCCAGCTCTATTGATTAAAAAGGAAGGCGTTTATTGACGTGCACACCCTTTTCTCTTGCATCTTGGCATTTTCTCAAGACAAACAGACCGAGACAAGGGCGCGCAAGAGCGGAAGCGAGACGAGGACCACTGATAACCGAACATGGCCTTTTCAGTAATTCCGCGTTCTTTTTCTTCTTCTTCCTTTTTTATTGTAACGGTTGCCCGAATCGCTGTCTTTCCGACGCTCGACGTACATGAAGACACGGCGTCCATGTTGCTTGTCCGTTGCTTGTTCGTTGCTTGTTTGTTGCTTGTCTGTTGCTTCAGGTGTAGCTTCGTCTCGCGTGCGCCGGTTGGGTGGGCATGACTGAAGCACCGCAACGAGGCAAATGCCACCAAATCGTCAAACACTTTGGGTGGCGGGACCAGCACAGCTGCGGCTGGCACGTGCCAACCGTGGATGATCGTCGGATTCTCGACTTCTTCCGCCCTCCTCATCAATTTTCCCCAGAGCCCGGTCGATGGAGAGGAGAAACTCGTACGACGTACTCGGTACAGCAGTGACAACGCCCTTTTTGTCGGCCATAAATTGCCGTACCGGCATGCTGGCTTAACGAGAATAAACCAGAGCAGCGTGGCCAGCACCGACTGAGCTGGTTCAGAATGTGTCTGTTGGTTTAACACGCCGTCATTTTGCTGTACGCAAAATATTGTTAGCATCAGACGGGAAACTGTCGTTTCACGTCTACTTCGTTCCTTGACCATCCCCTTCACACCATCCCACCACTGTCCTAACCGCCGCTGTCGTACCAGTATATGTCCCTGTACTTTTGACCTTGTCCTTGTGGCCCATGCTGGGCTTCGCCGATCATGACTTACCTGGGCATGTGGAAAAAGGGAGTTGGGACTTCCTATCCCCAATCACGCGCAGGTGGTGGTTCTGGGCAAGCGAGACAAACAGGAATAACAAAGAGACAGCCTCGAAATGGAAGAAGAAACAGAGGATGCCAGAAATATCATCCCATGTGAGGTAAACCTCAGAACCTCAGTACAGCTCTACCAGCATGGAGCTGTCGATAATAGGTTTGCTTCCAACGACCCGTATACCGTTTCTTCCAACCGTTATTTGACCCTATCGCTCCATAGTTCCATGGCTCTGTCGCCATGTAGTTTTGCCAACCTCTGTTGCTACCGTATTTTGTTGTTCTGTCGTGTTTGTTATTTCCCATTTTTATTTCCAACCACGTCGTGAATGTCGCGTGCAGGGTAACTTGGTCGAACCAAGGGCATATTGCCCAATCTGGAAAACGGGGCAACGCTGTGTGTGACCTGCTTAGAGTTCTGTATTTCCACATGAGC